ATAACGGTTCAATCCTAAACCTGAACTGAAACACTACTAGGTAGTTATGGAAGCTTACTGTACAGACAAGAAATGTACAAGTAGAAAGTGTCCTTGATGGCAGCCAGACCCTGCAGTCTTTTGAGTCCATGCTCCGGTTGTGAGGCTATAGATATCTATGGATCGTCTAACTCAACAAGGTGTGCTCTCCTTTCAGCAGCCTTTTTCCTAATGAAGATTCCCCATCTCAGAGCGGCCTTAAGCTTGAGCCACCCCACTACAGCTTTGCCAGATGAACGAGAAGCTTCGTTATCGAAACCATAAGTCAGGGATGGGGTGGGCATATATTTTGATGAATACAGATGACCGTCTTCAGTAGCATTAAAGGAAGAAGTACTATGGCATTGGCTTCCCATGTTAAAGATATGAAGCAAATGCTGCATATCTTCGTTGTCAAGCATCTCATTACTTCTCATTCTAATCTCCTCCTCTGATAAGAAATCATCGATTCCCTTATAAGTAGGAATATTTGATGTCCCGCCATCATGGAAGCCTGGAATGGACGACTGAGACAGACCAAGAGCTTGCTCAGTATCATTTCCTGGAACCAGGACATGGTGTGTAGCACTGACCATGGGGTCATGTAGATTAAATGAAGCACCATTGTATCGAGTCTGAGCATGAAGATGCACATTTTGTGATTGCATCGACAGTCTTGCAGCCATATTATCGTCATAACCTATAGAGACAGAGAACACAGCCAAAACAAACTTAATATAGAAATAGCAGTCCAACAAGTCTTAGAAAATGACAAATCTAACGCTAAGTGAAGAATTTATTACCTCCAACATTTAGACCAGAATCCAGAGGAGGATGCTGTGAAGGAACTGGAACTGACAGGGTTGGCAAAGTCTGTTGCTGGTTGATGGAAATTGGATAACCTTGTGGTTCCATTTGAGCACTGGCTTGTGATGGACCTGCACTGTCTTCTTCCTCGGGGTCTAGCAGAGATTTACCATCATACTCTATAACGTGCATCCAATTTTCATATGCTTTGTTCACTAAAGCATCCACGTAAACCTGCAAGAATAAAAAAAAACAAGTAAATCATACGGTAAAATTATGGTAAATGGGTTTGAAGATAAATGCGATTTTATTTTATTTTACCTTCTGATCGTCTGCGAGAGAATCAGCTGCATAAAATTGTCCATTAGCAATTAAGCCACTAAACTCGTAGATGTTGTTGAAGACTATGCCAACACTCCTCACATCATCAGGGTAATAAACATAAAGTTTCCCACTTAGAACACAAGTTCTTGCATGCTCCACCAGAACATCCCACATCTTATTAGACATTCCACTTCCAAGAATCTACAAGAAATGGGTCAAAATTTAGTTACAGAAAGAGGAATGAGAAAATATGAATAAGATTTGAGGATGAGACAACGAAGCCTTACATTTCTCAGCCTTTGTGAGTCCCTAATCACAAGTCGTAGAAAGTCTTCAACAGTAAAAATTCCAGCTTTATTGAGCCGTTTGTGAAACGACCCATCTTTGCCTATCTTCTCCAATCTCCAGACTTCATCGTTTAATGCAGGTGGATAGTGTTTCTTGTATACTGTTAAGGAGGGGGGAAATGCAATGACTTACATGCATTAAAATAACCAAACTTGAGTCTGATTTCACATCACAAATACGGACTCTTTCTTTTATAAACTAAGTTAAGAACTCACATTCTCCTCGGTGATCCTTAACGGTGAAGGCATCTGTTTTCGCTTCACGGATACGGATGTCATCGCAACAGCCAGGAGAAACCTTTAGCCCTAGCCTGAATTTCCTGCTCCTGATCCAGCTCGAGTTGTCAGTAAATGTTAACTCCCCTAGTGTTCCTACACCATCCTTCAGCATTATCTGCAGTTCCCCAGTTAGTAGTGGTCTCTTCCCTTCACGCTCCTTGACGATATGACTGTCGAATTCTTCTTCAGTCCAGTTATCATCATCTTCGTTGTTGAAATCACCCTCGAGCACAACAACATCGAGTTTCGCCACAGATTCCGGACCACGGGTAACGACATGACCCGTGTTTGCATCAACTAAGACAACATGGATGGCAGCACCTTGCTCCCCTTCGACCTTCCCTCCAGTAAACAGAGGAAGGGACAACCTGGATTTAAAGCGCAGCTGCAAATTGTTTCCATCAGGTCCCTCTATCCACTTAGGAGAAGACCTGCATTGGCAACTGGAAAACGCATTAATTGGAACAATGCATGGAAAAAAGTGCACCTATAGGAACAAATACATCATTACAAGATTTAGAAAGAACAAGACAAGGGATTTCATACTTCTCAGAAAGCTTAGCAGAGCCCAGCTTTGCTAAAAATGAACTTTGTAAGAAGATCAAAACAGGAATAAATTCAGAATCTTACAACTCTTCGAAGAATAGGTTCCAATGATGAACAAAGTTTCTGCAGACTATCCACCTTCAGTGCTTCAACAATCACACTGCATCAATGTACAAACTTTATGTAAACAAAACAACTTTAAGAAATTATCCACCAAAAAAAAAAACTAGCAGAAGTTTGACACAAAGATGAACCAAACTCCGCTTAAAACTAAACATCAATTACGGATTCCTTGGTAGGCTATATTAGTAAAGTTGCTGTTTTTTTCATATTATTTTGAAAAAAGTTATAGTCAATGCAAGAAAGATAAGTTTTCAGCTCTGTCAGTCAAAACACTGCAACTGCATCAACACTCATGCTCATTTTGCATTTGGCTCACAACAATGCGCCCGCATAAAACATAGCAACTATGGCCTCCGTGCTTTTATTCATATATAACCTTTTACTTATCAAATGTTTTTATTCAATATTTAAATCGGAATAATCCAAAAAGTATATTTTTTGGCCATTCCAACAATTTCTCACAGAATCCAAAGTAAGGCATTTAATGCAGAGCCTTTTTCAGATTCAGTTTACTCGGAATTCAATTAAAACAAATAAACAAGACAAACTCATGAAAATGTTTGATTCGTAATTTTAAAGAAAGAGAAACGAGCGAGACCTAGCAAGAGCAGGTCGTTTCCTATCAGACCCTTCATCACCAGAACTCGAATCTAAACTTCTCTTTTCTCTCGCCGTATACTTCATTTGCATTTTTCAAACTCGGTCTGTTTGGTTGCCGAGAAAATAACACAGCAAACTTCTCTTGTTCTTTTTTTCCCTGCCTTCTCTTAGCTTATTTTTGAACTTTCCCGTTCTTAAAAAACAAACCCCGAAGGCCCAAATCCGAAAAATATTTCTCTTTTCTCTTCCTCTTCAAAGGTGATTCGATTTTATCCACCAAAAAAGGAATCAAATTTCTCTGTCTTCCTTTTTTTCCTTTTTCATTTCCAGAATAAAAAAAAGTGAAAAAGAAAATTGTAAAAGAAAATAAAAAGAGAGAAGCCGGAAAGGTGAAAAGAGAGGGAATTGGATTTTAGGAAGAGAAGCTTTGAGGAAACGTCGGCGAACTTTCGTTGTTGTCGACATCTTTGTTCACACCGATGGCTTAGGCACTGTGACTAATCTGTTTGGATTCGAAAGTCGCTTTATAAATTCGCACGGTCGCCTCTGCTCCGCTCAGCTATGATCTTCGTTTTCTCAGAGCCGTTGGATTACGGAATCTGGCTAGCATAGTACTTGTTTTGTATTTATTTGCACATTTTTCACAACTTCAGTACAACGGGTAAACGTTACTGATTCCAATACGTACGTGATGGGCACTGTTGTTTGAATTGCTTTCGATTTCGCACATGCTATTTACTTTTCCGTAATATTATCCATAAATAATCATTATCAAATAGTAACAAATCTTACCCGATTGTCCGTTAATCACGGCACGACCTCTCACACCCTGTCTTGTTTAAACTAGCTTCCATTTTTGTCCTTCAAGTAAAATCTGTAGGAACAGAAACACACGAAAACTGACCATCTTTTCCTATCATCATCCATCAAAGATTTCCGGCTGTTTCTCTTTCTTTCTTTTTTACAGGCAAGGCAACAATTTTTGACCTGTCTTCTCAATCAGACACAACACATGTGATCAGTTATCGAACTACATTATAGGACGATAAGAGAGTTTTTCTTTTCAACAATAAATCTATTTTCTCTACCGTATAGCGATCTTTTAAAGTACGAAAAATGTGACACGTGTAATCAATGTCAGTGCTTAAGCTTAATGTACACGTTTATCGTTGTTAAACTAATTTAATTAGTACACAAATAAAACCATCTCAATAGTCAAGAAAGATATGTTTAAGTGTTCACTGTCAATTGATCTCAGATTTGTATTTAAATACATTTGAACGTTCATTATCAAATAGTAAAAAATCTTCGAATAATCAACAATTTCTAAAACAAATAGTTAAAAACTCTCAATTGACATTTAATACCCATTCAAAGTAAAATTTTCCACCCTCCCCCCTTAGATAGGAATTGGTCCAAAAAAAATCTTTAGAACATTACTAATTTATAATCATTGCGTCCTAATAAAAAAATAACTCAATTTACATCATTACTATTATAATGATATATATTAATTTAAACATGTAATATGTTTTAATTTTACATCTTTTGCAACATGCCCTGTAACACATCCACATATCAGCAGTTACCTATCCTATGACCAGTTTATCTTCTGACAAAATAATTAATTGAAGGGAGAAAAAGAAGCAAAAGTCCAGAACATAAACATCAGTTAAATGCATGCTAGTGGGTGGTAGAACAAAAATACTCCCTTCAATAAACTTTAAACAGTAATTAGAAAAAACGTCGCCATATTTGAATTCATAATGGAAAAGGAACAAATCATACAGAACAAATGGGAGTTTTCCCTTTGAAATAAGCACCAAACTAGGCGGTAGAAGAGAAGGCAGGATGGTGACAAAATAGGTGTTACTGCGGATTCGTTCAGTTAAACCACTATTACACTTCTCCATGTAAAATTACATCTGATATCCATGACTACAAAAAAATTGTGCAAGGTAAGTCATCAATGCCTGTTCTTATTCCTTTTCCCCCCCTTATTTCTGTCTCTTTTGCTTGGTGGCTTGGATCTGTGTTTTGCAACTTTCTTGAATGGTTTACTTTTACTCACAGACAACGCTTGTTTTCTATCAACTTTATCTCCAACTGATCTCGGCATTGCCATTTGAGTCCTTTCACCCGTAGAGTCTTCTTCTTCCTCACGAGAAATCTCACTCATAATCACAGTGACGGTCATGTTCTCACCATCATACTTTGTAGTCCCTTTCACCAATAAACAAAGGCCGACAACATAATAAGGTAAACAACAGGTTTAAGCTTTGTATCATAAAAATGCCACGGTGCAATATGGGAAATTGAATAAAAGAAAATCTTTGTTCTCAATAGTCAATAAACATTATAGTACCTTGTAAAACCATCAACTAGTAGGATTAGAAAAATACCAGATAATGAAGCAGTTGGCTCTCTTTCTTCATCATCCTCTTTGTTCTCATCAACTCCATCAGGTTCTGAGCCTGTGCCGGGAAGTACTCCTCCATATAGGGCAAATTCTTTTTCCAACTTTCTCTGATGAATTCACCAACCAAAGAACTTAAGATCATTTTCAAGTTAGATAAGAAAGCCAAATACTAACATAAAACTAAGTAGACTTTGTGCAACAAACAAAACACACAAAATTAAAAGCTAGAATCTACTGGGATAATTAGCATATATAAGAACTCGCAGAGGTATCTCCCAATTCCTTGTATATCCTCCTATGTTACTCGGACTCAACAGAGTGTGTCGGATACCAGTATGTGCCTGACATGACATGCTGGATGTTCTATAAGCTTTTCTATGTATTTGGAGAATCATGCCTTTTACCCATGACCGGATATTTGTCAAATAAGGGCGTTGGACATGGGTACTTTATGGAAAATAAAACCTTTGCACTTTAAACAGGTGTAAACAGAGGTGAGAATTAAAGCACAAGGTTTGCCCCAAGTGATTTGCTTGTTACTAAAATCTCATCGGCAAACCCAAGTGATTTGCTTGTTACTAAAATCTCATCGGCAAATTAACGGTGATAATCCCATCAGAACAGCTTCTGGAGAAATGGCCAATTTGATAGTAATCCTAATCTCATCAAGTTCAAATTGTGGTGCCAAAGACAATTAGTTTCTATCTGTATAGGGCAATGAAAAAAAATCAATAAACTTATTTCCTTTATTTGTTAGAAGCGATGCTTCAGCAGCCATAATAATTCAGTCACTAAGGCAAAAAGGAGTAAATTTAACAATATTAGCTGAAGGTCGAAGACATCTGAATCGAAGTAAAACAGCGTCTAGAAAAGTTTAATTAATATTTAAAAAATCAGAGAAGAAAGGGAAAACCTTTTTGCGCCGTTCAATACGCTTGCGGCGTTCAGCCTGCTCTTGCTTCTTCTGGGCTTCCTTTCTGCGCTTCTTCTTCCTCTTGTGAAACCCAGTTACGTAATCCCTTATCAATTCACCAATTATCAATACAAAATAAAGTAAAATAATTTAGCTTTTCACTATCTACGGTGGAAACAAAGGATGTGTTATGCGTGTGGTATGGTACCTGAGATCCTTCTCGTTGAAAGAAACGGAGAGTGCTTTGTTCTTGAGGGCTCTTTTCTTTATGTGGCGAACTCGGGGCTTCGACGGTAGCACCGGGGCTTCACCTTCGTATTCTTCTTCCATCGCAGCAAACGAAGCAGCTCCTTCTCCAGTGTCGCCTTTCTCCCAAGATTACAGTGTGAGATTTAACGAACCGGGGTTTTAAATATGGGCTTTAGGTCTGGGCTCAGCGTCCCTTTTTTGGGCTATTAATAGTCCAGTATTTATATCATCCAACCCAACGAAACATTAGTGGAAATGTAAAACCGTACGGACTAGTAAACAAAACAACCTCAACAGAGGACGGATCAGAAATCCTAGGAAGGCGCATTCATTTCCCTCCACGCGCCTTTCCTTCTGTTGATGACACATTTCATGTCTTTAAACTTCTTTTGAATTATTTCTTTAAACTTAATTAAAGATTAATTATTAGATTATGACCATACATATGGCAGCAGAAAGTAATAATTCAATTAATATAAACGAGGATCTCACATTTTGTTATAGGTAGTGTCAGACGTAGGATTTTATGTAAGGGAGTGGACTTTTAAAATTATATAGACAGACGAATTTATAGAATTTTAGAAAGTGACGAAATTATATTTTCGGTATAAAATCATAACATATATTGTAATTTTAAATTTTCAGAAGGACGAATGCCCCCATTTACCTCCTTCGATTCATCCCTGGTTAAAGGTGATAATTAAGTAGTAGTACTCGAGTCGGATCGTTTTGGATTTATGTTGGATCCAATTTAAGTTTAATTCGGGTCAATATTAGTTTGGGTTTATGATAAGTCGTATTAAATTTCATATTAAATTGAATTAATATCAAATCAATTATGTAGACACTTATCTTTGTCCGATTAATTTAATTGAAATGGTAAGAAAATAATGAGTTTAATACTAATCAGAATATCCCCTTTTGATTTCTTTTTATATCTCATGTAATCTCCTATGTTAGAATGTATTGATGTGATTAATTTAATTTCCTTAAATGGGGAGATTGCGTAGATATGCATTTAATTTAGATTTAGATCGTTGATGTAAATAATCCAGACAATTGGATGTAAGGAGACCAATTATAAATAAAGGCATCCTCTATCTCATTGGAGGGGAAAATGAATTTTATTCTTTACTTTGAGCAATAAAATAAAGCATTTTCTCTATATTTCTCTTGTTATTGTCTTTTCCTTAAGTTCCTTAAAATGATTTTTTCCAAAACACGCAGGTCTAGTTCGGACTAGATTTGTTTGGATAGTCCACTTCTTGATCCTCTTATCGACGAATTTGAAAGAACTGGAAATAATTTTTTTCAGAACACGCATATCTAGTTTAGACTAGATTTGTTTGGTCTTCTCATCGACGGAATTCATAAATGAAGAGAGATTTTACAATTCACACGAAAAAAATAACCAAAAGGGAAATAAAATAACAATAAGAATATAGAGAAAATGTTTTTTTTATTGCTCAAAAATAAAGAATAAATTCTGTTGTTTTTTCCCTCTCAAGCGAGACATAATATGTCTTTATTTATAGCTGAGTCTCCTTACATCCAATGATCTAGATTATTTATGTCAATTGTATAGATTAAAAGCATATCTACTCAATCTTGTTATTTAAAGAAATTAAATCAAGCCTATAACACATTCTATAGATAGGAGATTACATGAAATATAGAAAAAAATTCAAAAGGGAATATTTTAATTAACATTAAACCCATTTTTTTACTATTTTAAACAAATTGACCGAACAAACTAAATATCTATAAATTAATTTTTAATCTAGATCGAATATCAAATTGGCTCGTGTAGTATTTAACCGGGTTTCCTATGTGACTAACTTCAGGTGAAGGCGCTTGTTTTGGAGCCTGGTGCTCGAGTTGATAATCCGATGAAGGGATCATTGATTCAGATGGTGAGGTCCTCTCCTCGCGAGGGGAAATGTAACATACAAGGGTAAATAATGAAAAGTGACATATGGTCTGTTTTTGGATCAAGGGTTTTCTATTGGTGCCTAACTGCCAATAGTGCCAGTAATAATTATGGGTACATCTACGCCTTATCATATATATAATATATACATACGACAACACCTCATTAAATATAAGGGTAAAGTGTATAAATGGATTTTGATTATAAAGTAACTCTTTTTGATGAGTTATCGATTATTAAAAATTATAAAATTGTCTCAGGATTATTTATATGTTTTAAATTTATACTTTTTGTTCGATAGTCTAAGCTGAACGTTAATTTGTTGACTGAAATATGATAAAATATAATCCTCAAATCGTTTGAGTTGTATTTTTTGGATCGAATATCTGTTTTTATTATATCATCGAGCCAGTACTTGAAACATAATGTCTTCGAGTCAATACTCGGAAGCAACGACAGTACCAGCAGACAACACCAAAATATGATTTTATCATATATATTTCAATATGTTGAAGCCCAACTCAAACGATCATCCATTATTTAACGGAAAAATATAAATTTAGAACATATGAATAGTTGAGTGATCATTTTATAACTTTCAATAATCAATAGACTCAACAAAATAACATATTATAACCGAGGGACTTTTGTATACTTTACCCTAAATATGAAGAGAATTCATAATTAAATATTAATAATGCATTAAATACAAACCTACTTGGTACTGAGTGATGGTAACCTACTTGAAACATAATGTCTTCGAGTCAATGGTAATCCACTCCCTTACACTCCTAGTTCTATCTTCGGAGGTTGGGTTGGGTTTTGCAGCAGGTACCCAAGTCTGAATTAGATGAGCTGAGAGAAACAGAGTCATTGGTCCATGCCCATAATTTGGATCACCGGGGCACGGACGGAGTGTGGGTTGTACGTTCATTTGCTTGGTCTTCAAAGTTGTGGATGATGATTTGACACGGTCATCATGCCATTGCCACCCACTGAATCTTGTTGCAGAAAATCCAAATCAGCATCATCATCACAGCAACTTTTGAGAATTGAGATTTGTTGACGTCATTTTGATATTCTTTGGGTATGGGCTGCAGTATATGCAGTCATTTTCTTATATCTTTCCTTCAGAATTTTACCGCCTATGAAATACTTCAACGCCCTTCTCATTTCATACTTGGATCTAAACAAAATCCTTCCACATTTTATCCATCGCTCGACTCTATTTACTTGAGTCGTAAAAAGTTTCGTATTTCTTAATAAATACAAAAATCATTCTATTTAGATTTATTTGATTGAATAGTAAGATGCTATTTTAAGTTTGAATTTTGTGAATAGATAAAATAAATAAAGTTTTTTTTCTTTTTCCATTTGAAGTCTAATTTAATTCAAACCCTACTAAAAAGGTATAGATATTACAAGAAAATTAAAAAAAAGGCCATTTAATTTCATTGAATAATTTTTAAAATAAAAAATATGATCACACATCCTCAAATTATGACCTTCATTTTAAATTGATCTCTAAAATTTTCAATATTTTAAATTTTTTTAATTTAAACTGTGACTCTCGTTCCAAGTTAGCCTTAAAACTTTTGAATATTTTAATTTCATTCTCAAACTACGACCCTCATTATAAATTAGTCCCCAAACTTTAAACATTTCAATTTCATCCCAAATTATCAGTATATGTTAATCACATCCCTTATTAAAAAACCTTTAGGCCAAGCTATATTATTATATGTTTTAAAAAAATAGGTTAAACTATGCTTGGAACTAATTACATATTTGGGTGAAATTGGAATATTCAAAAGTTTGGGGACAAATTTAGAATGAAGATCATAGTTTGTGATGACATTGGGATGTACCAAAACTTGAAGACTAATATAAAAAGATTCGTAGTATAAGGATAAAATTAAAATATCTAAAAGTTTGAGGACTAATCAAAAATAAAAGCCATAGTTTAAGGGTCTAAATATTAGGAAGAGCCAAAACCCAAAAAAGAATAATCCTATGAGGAAGCATTAATTGTGATTATCAATTTGAACTTAGATTAGGACATGATCACTGCAAAATTATATATATTGACAGAATGCTCCATCGACATATATTGTCTTCAACCTTAATTTAAGCCTGTCTGCATGCTTGCAGGAAAACATACAAAACGCAAAACTACCGAAACGCGGTCTCTATATCCTCGTTAACTACTATAAGTAGATGGGATCAGTCCAAGTTAACACTGTCGACTACTTAAAGTTTGAAGTTTAAACAGTAAACCGCACTTAGGAATATGTGATGTGATTCATTCACTCCACGTATGTCTACGTTTGTTTTAGTGTAATTTATATGGCACCATCATCCCCCCCCCCCAATCTAAAATCGTATTATTTGTGTGGCTGTCTATCATTTGTTCGCCACGTGTTACTTTTCTCCTAGGAAAGAAACAACAAGAAAATTATCAACATTATTACATGTGGTCGAGGTCCAATGTTTTGCCATGTAAGCTTCATCGTCCGTTTAATTTTTATCACAAACCAAATTGGTGGTGAATTCGAAGACCATCTTACTATATATATAAATATATATGTTGCGATGTAGCTGATTGAGTGAATTTAAATGTTTAATTGAAACTGTCTTTATTTTATGTAATATTTTCTATCGATAATGAATATTATATAAAGAGATAATATTTTATATTATTTCATAAAATAATTTGTTTAGAGTTATTTTGATAAGAAAACCGTCTTCGACCCTATCCCTCTACACCTTTTGATGATGAATTATATTGTAAAATTGCAGGTACTAAAATGTACAAAACTCAATAATTTTGGACTGATATTACATAAAACCAAAAGAAGAGTTAAAAAGGAAATACCCGGGAAAGCGCGTGTTAGTGTAGAGAAAATGAAGCACGTGTTACGTGAAACATGCATGATCGTGGCGGCGGGCCATGCATGATTTCCCATTGCCATATAAAGACACCATTGCAGTGACCAAAAAACCCCCCTCCTCATCCCATTCAAATGGATGTTTGATTTACGTTAAAACTTGCAATATTCAACTGACGTAAAAAGCTAAATTAAATGAAATAATTAATCTTATAAAATCATAAAAAAAAGTTAATCATGTTATAGGGATGCAGGCATATCAAATATATGCGATTCTAAAATATCAAACTCTATATATTTATCCAATAATTAAATTAATTTATTATCTAAACTCCCATTCAATTTCCAAATATGAATATAGGTTGGGATATTTAATCACTAAGTATTTAGATTCATTAAATCATTTTTCATGAACAGTATAAAACTAAGCAATATTTACATGTTTATTCATAAAAATAACGTGGATTAAGTAATAAATTTGAATATCCAATACAATTGAAATTAAAACCAAAATGAATTTAATGAGTAGAAAAATATCCAAATAAAATAGGTCGATAGTAATCTAATATTCAACTTATCACTTTCCATTCCCACTGGATATGTGCGAAAGTGTGCAGATTGCAGTGTCTTGGCATTTCATTTCCTTATTTTTCAACGGGTTAAATTTGTAAAGTAGATTGCACGTCCAAGACAAGTCAAAAGGCCCCAAAAATTAAATATGAAAAAAGGAAATTAAATTTTATCCAAAAATTGACCACAAATAAGCAAAACCATAGGAAAATTTATAATAAAGAACATAATTTTTTAAGAGATTATATGTTAATAGGGTATATGTTTAATTTTTAAAAATTAAAAATTTTAATCAAAATTCGGTTGAATCAATATTACTTGTCTCTATAGCAGTGGCAGATGCACTAAGCTCTTATAAAGATCAAGTGCATCTCATTATTTTAGAAAAGTGGTTAAATTTAACTTAATGAGTTAAGAAAAAAAGAAAAAAATTACAATTTTTACCTACCCATTATTTTTAAGAAAGGAAAATTAAAATTTTGAATCACATTCTTAAATTTCTGAATTCACCACGGCTTTATAGTTATAAATAATAAATAGTGAAGAATAAATTATTTATCAAAAGTATTTATTATGGAAAAAAGAACTGTCTGCCTGTATGTTTTCTGGTTTATTCATTTATACATATATATATTATATATTATGGTACAATATAAAAATGCATTTTATAATCTTCGTATTCTTTGATTTTTATATCTATTTCACTTACATTTCATTCTTCCTCTCTCTAAAATCCCTTTGTTTAACCCTTTTACTTTCTCTTTTGTTTCTCATGATTATGCAGATCAGCGTCTAGCCTTCCCTTTTTAACCTTTTTTGTTAAACTTTTTTTGTCATGAAGATAAGGAGTTGTAGAATCCAAGTGTGCGGTCTTTTGAAATTTTGAAAGGAAAAAGAGAAAGAAAGTAATAATAAGAAGATGTCAACTCCGGGAGCAGCTTCTTCTTCAAAGTTTTGCTTCAATTCGGACTGTAAGGACTTGAAATCGGAAATACCGATGAAAGGCTGGCGGTTGCGAACCGGAGAGTTTGCCGAGCTCTGTGAGCGATGCGCGTGAGTTTCACTTCTTCTTGAGACTCTTTTGACTTCCTTTTTTTAGCGGGTTTTTAATTAATTTATTTAAATTTAGTGACAAATTAAGTTTAGTTGTAGAATCATTGTCCTTTTATGGTTATCCAGTTGGTTAATTTAGGGAATTTTTTTCGCTCCAATTAGCTGTTCGACATGACTTGCTTAATAAAGATAATTATTATTTTTTAAAACGTGAAGTCTTAAAAGTGAATTGCTTAATTTATTTTCCATGTTATAATCTGAATTAAGTTCATTGATTTTAGTTCTGCTTTTGAGGAGGGAAGATTTTGTGATACTTTTCACTTGAATGCTTCTGGTTGGAGGAACTGCGTGTCATGTGGGAAGGTTAGTTAGATACAATTAAGAGCTTTACTTGCTATATTTCGGTGCTACGACGGCAAATGTGTTCTTTGATCTTCCCTAGATTTAGTTTTAGATTCCTTAGGTGACTTTACCTTTGTTTACATTCGTTATATCTCTGCAGCGGGTTCATTGCGGATGTATTGTTTCAGTTCATGCATTTACTTTGTTGGATGCTGGAGGAGTAGAGTGCATAGCGTGCGCGAGGAAAAATGTTGTTTTGGTGAGCTTGGATAATTTTACTATGCTATTCTGATGTGTCTCTTCCTGAATCTCTTTTAAGACTTAGTAATGGAGTTGGTACTTTTTAAAATAGGGCCATAATCTATCATTCCTAGTTACTTTGTTATCATAAATGAAAAAAGACATTTTTCTAGCATGTGTTTTCTTACTTTAAGTTTTGCGGCTTTGAACTGTATTTCCTAACTGATGGCATTCCTTGGCTATGTAATGTGCTGTAAGCCTTGTTATTTGACATCCTATTTCAGGGATCAAGTTCTTCCTGGTCACAATCTTTGCTTTTCCATTCATCTTTGCCTGAGAGATATAAAGAATATTCTGCAAAAGGTTGGACTCAGTTATCTGGTTCACGTCCTGTACCTTGGCGGCAAGCGCCCAGTTTGTTCAGTTCTGTTTCTCAGTCCGAGTTGCATTCTAGAGTGCCCTATGAAGTTGACTTATCCAGTGGCATTGACAGACTAATTGTCTGCGACAGATCATCTAATCTTTCTCTGGAAAAGAAGAAAATTGAGGACTTCTCTGAAAGTTTAATGAATGGAAATCTAAAGCCTGGAAGACGGGATATACAGGAGAAGGGAAATGCAGGTTTAGAGAACTTTCCTTGTACCGATCATTGTAGTCTTGGGGAACATATAATAAGAACCTTATTTCTTGCATTACCTGTTTCATGTGAATGTCACCTCCCTTGCTTGGACATTCACTTTATTCTGCAAAAAATTGTTTGTAAAAGCTTGTTTGTGGCTGATGAACCTTGTGTGAACCATTTTTTGTCCAGGAATCAATTTTGAGGAGCATAATAAGTCATGTTTGACTAAATTTCAACAGTCTTCTCTGAAGGAGGAGCCATCTAATCCATCATTTGGGTTAGCTGTACCTTATACATCTCCAGATGAAGAAAATGGTCAAATTGGGGTTTTTGACACGCATTTACGACCAAGCCCTCAATTTCCACCTGCCAAGCAATTTGATAGCACTCTTCAAAATGGGCTTGACTCATCGAGTGAAACTCAGATTCGAAATGGGAGGCCTCGACCGGATGGCCGTGGAAAAAATAACTTATTTCCTCGTTATTGGCCTAGGTTCACTGACCAAGACCTGCAGCAAATAACTGGAGAGTATCCTTTGGTTATATAAGGTATTCTTGATACTTGTTCTTTTGTGAGAGACGTACAATTTTTCATAAAAACCTCCAGCAATGTCAATTCTCAAAGTTGGATCACTGTCTAAAGTGTTTGTTGCGGACGTAATGATTAATACCTATGTGCTAATCATTTCCATTCTTTAAGTACGTTGTTCTTCTGTTAGACTTAACCGTATTTAAGTTCAAATTCTATAATAACTCCTTTGTTTGAGAAAATGTTAAGTGCTAGTGATGCTGGGCGAATTGGACGTCTAGTGCTGCCAAAAAAATGTGCGGAGGTGAGCGAGTCCTTGTTCTTAGTCTAACCTTCTTAAAAGTTTTTAATTTGATTTAACATTTGTTTTAATAGCTTTCTAATAAAAAGGTTGGCAGTTAACTTTTTTATATCAATATCTGGACTGCTATTGTGATGTAGCATGTTTTGACTCTATGCATTTTTGCTCTCACTTTTTTACTGGAAACACTCATCTAGTTTTGTACTGTTATTATTTCTATGATTCTTTTGCTGAAGTTAAATATGAGCCTTGTGTTTGTGTAGTAAATCTTTGATTCTCATGAGTTGTTTCCTATAGTACTGTGACATAATAAAATGCACTTATTATGAGGCAGGCCCATTTCCCCCCAATATCTCAGCCAGAAGGTTTACCTCTTAAAGTCCAGGATTCAAAAGGAAAGGAATGGATATTTCAGTTCCGCTTCTGGCCCAACAATAATAGCAGAATGTATGTTTTAGAGGGGGTTACTCCTTGCATACAGAACATGCAAGTGCAAGCGGGTGATGTAGGTAGGTAACAAATTGATATCGCTGGAATACATTGAATTAAAGATTTCAATCTTTTATGTTCTGAGATCCAAAGTTTGCTATGTTTAATTTATAGCCATATCTGTGCCTTTCCACTGTCATTTTTACTCTTCAGAACCTTTCTGGTTTCTTTTGGTTTTGGATTTACCAGTTCATATACATAATGATAGAGTCTAGCCTATTTCTCTAGTGATTTTAGTTCTGTTTCACACTCGTGCATTTTTGTTATCTTTCTTACCTGCCCTTGGCTTTTTACTATGATCATGCATTATCATTTTATACTTGCATCTATTTTGAAACTCATAGTTATGCTGTTTCCTCAGTAACATTTAGTCGGTTGGAGCCTGGAGGGAAGTTGGTCATGGGTTTCAGAAAGGCTTCAACTGCTTCAGCATCTGATCAGGTTGTGCATCTATCCTGATTGTGCATCTATATGCTCTACGGCTAAGATAAAATGCAATAGAACTAGTTCATATGAGTGCTTTTGTTCCCCTTGTTTTTAATTCCTCTCAGGATACAATTACACTTCAGTTATGGTAAAACTTATTGCTGGTCTTTCTAAAAGCTATATTCTGTGTATTTTTATTGTCAGGACATTGAAGCCAAGAATAGCAATGGAATTTCTATGCATGGAGATGTCAGTGCCTCAAAACATAAAAGTGCTGATATATTTTACAATTATTTGAAAATAGCTCAGGTTCATCTACCTTTTTATCCATGAACCAGGCTGAAATGGCAGATCCTAGCTCATGGTCAAAAGTTGATAAGTCAGGATACATAGCGAAGGAAGCATTGGGAGCCAAAGTAGCAGTTTCCAGAAAGAGGAAGAATAGCATGCCAGGTTCGAAGAGTAAGCGTCTAAGAATTGATAATGAGGACTTTATAGAGCTGAAATTACCGTGGGAAGAAGCTCAAGGGCTGCTTCGTCCCCCTCCTAATCATGTAGCAAGTGTTGTAGTCATTGAAGGTTTTGAGTTTGAAGAATACGAGGTATGCTGTATCTTTATTGATCTGTATCTTTTCTGACCACATTTAATAGCTGTTGTGATTGAAATCACTTTTGGTTGTAACTAGCAGTAATAGAAGCCACTTTTATTCTGTCTTTGTAGTGTTTGTTACTCGATTTTGGCAAATTGAACTCGAACATGCATATCTTAGAATTTTATGGTTGGTACACCCTTGACGAAGACTTAAAGGGTTGCTCAGGAACTTTTTATACTGTTAGCTGTTTATGGATGCCATCATAGAACCAGAATAATTAGATGCAAGAACAACATCTCATTCTTTCTTATTCTGGCCTTTTTCTAGTTTTTTCGTTCAAAGATGTAATCATCACTCTCTGTTCATTTTGCTTTTTGCTAGGATGTGATTACTAATTAATCAGTTCATTGTTTTTAGGCTGCCTATTAATAGTCTTTTAATATTTATATATTCCACAGATTCTATTCTTTCTGCTTGATCCTCTCTTCCCTTTTCTGTAGTAGTTCCAAAATTATCACTTTCATTGTGTTAATAACAGGATGCACCGATTCTTGGGAAGCCAACAATATTTGCTACTGATACTATGGGGTAACTCACTTTCTTTTGGATGCTCATGCCTGTATTAAAGAGAGTTAATTGACTTGGTTGTAGCTAGATCGCAACAGCTGTCTGAAACCAAGCAAATACAATTTTTTTTTCTTTTGTGTCAGGGTAAAGATTCAGTGGGCTCAATGTGAAGATTGTTTTAAGTGGCGAAAATTGCCTTCTAATGTACTTCCTTCCAAGTGGACCTGTTCCAATAACTCATGGGATCCAGAAAGGTTAGAACACATTGATTTAACTCTGCAACCAAATCAATTTAATACCAACCTGTCGAGAACTAAATTTAAGGGGAAAAAGTGAAAAGCTTAAAAAATTGTTTTTGTGTGGTCTATGCTTCAACTCTTTCTTTATCTACCAATGCTGGCAGATCTTCTTGTTCAGCCACTCAAGAATTGACTGCCGAACAGCTGGAAAATCTGCTGCCACAATGTAATCCAGGTATTTGTTGCTTGAAGAAAACAAAAGGCTATGTTTTCTGAAACTCACTTGGAGTAAACTATGCATGAATTTGATTCCTTGATGATTTGAGTTGTAAAGCATATTCTTGTAGTGTTTTTTACCATTGTGAAATTAGCAAATTGGTTGTGATTGTGACTGACAGCTGCTTCTAAGAAAATGAAGGCCACTAAAACAGAACCAGAAAACGTGGATGCTTTAGAGGGGCTTGACACCCTTGCCAACCTAGCTATCTTGGGAGAGGGTGAGTCTCTCCCCACTTCATCTCAAGTCACCACAAAGCACCCCCGGCATAGACCTGGCTGCTCATGTATCGTATGTATTCAACCCCCAAGTGGGAAAGGTCCCAAACACAAGCAGACATGTACATGTAATGTTTGTGAAACAGTGAAGAGACGATTCCGCACCCTCATGCTGCGGCGTGAGAAGAAACAGTCACGAAAAGAAGCTGAAACCACTGGCAAGAAGCAGCAAACTCCGTTGCCTGATAAAATAGGGGATGGTGACCTTCCCCCTTGCACGAATGCAGAAAATTGCAGCCCAAAGACAAAAAAGGTTGCCTCTGAGGGTTCAGACAATGATCCTAACAGAGTAAAATCTTCAACTTCACCTTTTAAAGGCCAAATTGACTTGAATATCCAACCTGAGCGAGAAGAAGAGCTTTCACCTGGTTCTGATTCCGGCAGCATGATGAGATTGCTTCAAGATGCCACTGACATATACCTTAGACAGCAAAGCATGTTGACCTCTGGTGGTTATAGTAATTTAGAAGTTACTCAGACACAACCTGGTGGAGGCCTAGGAGAAGTAAAAGATAGCAGCAGTCTCAATCTAGGAACTAGTCATCAACATGTTGACAGGAAGCCTCCAGCAGTTTTCTCTACAGAAGTATCTGCACCCACACCAACCACTGGTTAGATCAGTGCATTATGTTATGTTGACAATTAGCAAGGAATGAACTATTATGCCGATGCCGATGGCGGTACAGTTTTGTTTTACACATCCGCATTGGCATTATTCATTACAGGCTGTACATAAAAGAAGAGGGGACAATATACTAATATCCTCTCTTCAGTGAGGTCGATGTTAAGGTAGTTCATTTCAGGAGCTCACCAGCAGATTAAGAATTGAGAATGTAAAACAAGTGCCTGCAGAAGAATGGCATTACGATGATTTTATATTGTTTTGTTGGCTTGCTTTGCAGTTGCCTATCACATTTCATGCTTGGAAAAATTGTGCGTGGGAGTTATGGAGTTGGGAGTGTAATCTTTGACAGTATCTTCCCTATAAGCACGAAACACCTTATATATTAATATAAGTTAACCACATTGGCTTTTTAATTGAAGAATTTTCCTCAGTTGTAATAATTTAATATTGTCTATGTTTCAATAAAATGTCGCCACTGATATTTTTTTCAATTTTTTATAACTGACCTTAATCATTTTAGTTACTTAACATTTATTTAAAATATATATAATAAATTTTAAAATATATTTTTATACTTTTTTTATCAAAAATATATTTAACATATTAAGAAGTCAGATTTTAAAAAAATATATATTCTAAAAATCAAAATGTGACAAATTTATTGATAGACGATGACTATTACAAAACAAAGCCAAAGCCCATTTCCATTCTAATGCATACACATTTTCTCCATAATCATCAGATAAATTGCATCTTGAGCTTAACGACATTGCCGAGATGTGTACACTGTTATCAGCTTAATAACCCCTTACGGATATCACTACGAATTCATCAGTTAGCAGCAGTAAAAAAAAACTGTATATTGGATCACTTCCAAGTACCAGCATACGAATTCATCAGTTAGCAGCAGTAAAAAAAAACTGTATATTGGATCACTTCCAAGTACCAGCAATAGGCAAAGCTACCATGAAGACAAGTCAAGGCGCTACCTAGCTCATCTGCTGCCTCCATGTTCAGAAACCTTGAAACCCATTCGTTCAGCTTTGTCTTTCCTTTGAAAGGGTAGCCAGCAAAGGATGCACTTGTTCAATTGCCACCATAACGAGTTTCGATGAAAGCATGATGGCATTAATAAAATTCAGCACACTTTCGGTCACTACGGCAGCAGAAGCAAATGCAGATTAAGCCGCGGAAGCTCGATGCTCTAAATGGCGAGCACCCCATAGATGACCAGATGACTTATAGCGTAAGGGCAGCCCATTTTATATGTATATTGTACCGCAACGAATGCTAGGGATAGTGGCTTTGGGCGTAGAAGTTAAGGTTTCAAAATGAGCGATAAGCTTTAGGCACTCAGTTGCACATTCAGATGATGAGAAAATAATATCCTTCACACTAGCTTTCTCAAGCTCCTCTGTTGCTTTGATAGTGCCTTGCTTAACGACCATTTAGGTAAAGACTTGGTCTGAATTCTTCATCATCAAACAAGGGAAACAGCAAACTTTCAACACTGTTCTTTACTTCTATCTGATACCCTAGGGAACCAAACTGGAAGCCCAAAAAAAAATAACGCTAAAGAACACAACAAAGTGAAGATCAAACACAAAAACGGAAACCGGAAGCACCCAAGAAAACTTCTTACCTTAGTTCTTCATTCCAAATGAGTAAAGCCTTCAATGTTCGCTAGGCAAAATTTAAGTTAAACAAAAAGTTACCTTTCTTATATATTTATTGGTATGATAGAAGAATATGAAAATGGTGAGTGGAAATGACTCACAAAGAAGGTGAAACGCGGATTTGAATGTCGTGCAAGTGCAACGATGTTTGTATCGTTTGCACTTTGCAGTTGCAGAGAGAGAGAGAGAGAGAATGGGGGCGATTTGACGAAACTATATCGGAATATCTCTCTTTTTAGCATCGTTTGACTTATATTTTTTGAAGTGACACTCTTTCGATTTAGGTGTCGAAAGACGTATTCTTGGAGACGCGTTTTATCTGATTTTACGTTGAGTTGGATGCCACGTGTGAAAGACGCATATCCGAGGACGCGCCTTCACGGGGTTTTGTTGATTCAGTTGCCACGGTGATATTTTTTTTTAATAATAAAAATTTTATTTTTATTGTTATTATAAATTACTAATATATTATGTAAATTGTTTCGGTTATAATTTAATAATTATCGAATGTATTTTTTTAATGTGTGTTAAAGGTGGAGTGTATTATCCACATTAATCGGATAGAACAACAGATGAAAACTAATTTTTATTTTATTGTAGTTATATGAAAAATGTATAAAATTATTATATTACACGTATGGTTATATTTTTATTTTTATTTTGATTATAGATCTATTAATTTTATTACTTAATTATTTAAATATTATCAATCTAGTCATCTGTTATTATTATTTAACCAAAATATTGATGCATAAAATAATAAAATTAGTATAATTACACATTTAATATGTTATTATTATTATACATTGAGAAATTATAGAAAATGCAATTACATTTAAATATTAGAAACAAAACACTCATTTAAATAGAATATTAGGTTACATAAGGGTTAACGATTATGTGATGATAATAGAGTTGTACATTTTTTCTATTGTGTCCGATGTTTCTACAATACGCACATCGTTTTTGTTATGTTGACTTCTCCCGAATATCCATTTCACAATGTATTCTAGTAGATTTTGGACGACCTGAGTCCCTCAATAGCAATGGATCTGGTACAATTGTAAGCCAAATTTGAATCTCATATGAGTCTCTTTCGTTTCCTATGGGCGGAAACTCAAATTCATATACCTTGAATACTTGTGAAAGTTGGTATACGAGATCAACATAAATTTTGTAGTCCAAATGCGAATGTGAGCAAGCTACAATGATATGAGAACATGTATATTTGAGTGCTTGAAAGAAACCACAATCGCACCACCTCTCATGCAGATTAACTCTGAAAGAGTTAGCTTTAATCCCTTGCAACGGACGTGGCATTTCGATTACACGAAACAATTCACGGGTGCGAGAAAAATTTGTAACCAACATCCCATTTGATGCAGCCAATTTTTTCTGTAAATCAGCTACTAGTCTTGGGTGGTAAATATAACTGTTTTGCATCCAAGTAAGAGCTTGTCCACCGAGCTTTGCAAAGAGTTGACCCAAACGAAAATAAGTCGCTTTGACCAATCCGTGACTGGTAAATGACGAGCCCTCTTTAAGGTTGAATTTATTGTTTCAGCCAAGTTTGTTGTCATATGACCATAACGATACCCCCCGTCATACGCATTTGTCCACATTTCTTTGTTGATGTCCATAATGTACTCGCACCCCTTCTTATTTTTGCAAAACAACTCTTGTAGCATCGACTCAAACCTTTGAGGTAAGAGTTCGTAACCTAAGCCATTAGGAATATGTAATAGTTAGTATGAAGTATAAATAAATAATACGAAAATGATAGAAAAATTAGGGAAAAGTAACATACCCATCCGCACGACTAATTGACGTTCATCGTTCTTCTTGTATTTTTCGTAATAGTTTGTAGCAATATGACGGACACAATAACGATGTTGAACATGTGGAGGTCTATACATTGTACCCAAAGATTCCATTGTTGCTTTTATCCCAGCTCCTCGGTCTGAAATAATGCATACTCGTTCCCTGGTAACAACATGTAAACGTAAATTTTTAAGGAAAAAAGCCCAAGACTCAGTGTCTTCTCCTTAAACGAGGGCAAACGCAGCGGGAAGAATATTGCGGTTTCCATCTTGGACCACAGCCAATAATAAAACTTGCTTGTATTTCCCATACAAGAAAGTACCATCAATTTGGACAACTGGTTTACAGTACTTGACTGCATTAATACACTGAGGGTAAGTCCAAAAGACACGGTAGAATTGGCAGCGATCGCGAACCACTCGATCATTCACGTAATGATGTTGAGTTTCGAAATCAACAATTGTCCCGGGATTGAGTCTTTGCACAACATGAAACCAACTGGGCAGCTTGTTGTAAGATGAATCCCATTCGCTATAAAGTTTGTAAATGGCATTCTGTTTTGCCAACCAAGCTTTTTTATATGAGACGGTGTACCCATATTGTGACTGTATAGCAGGAATCAACACTGTAACAGCTATATGAGAGCTTTGCTTCACAATGGGCATGATTGCTTGGCAAATAATGTTGGAGTCCAAGTTGGGATGATCCTGGTTTATACCTCTTGCACAACACGTATGAGGACCGTTGTATCTGGTTAGTTCCCATAAGCTGTTATTCCTCCTCCTCTTTGATACACGAACCATCCATTGACATCCGTTGTCACGTTGGACGAGTAGTAGACATATTTCTCTGTGTTAGATCGATCAACTCGGGACTGAACTGAGTTACGAATATTGTAACTATTTATTGTCATCATTGCTTCTTCCTTCGATGCGAACTCCATTCCAATATGTAAATCACCGTCGTTGGCTGTTGATTGAAGTCCATAGTTGCCAACATCAGGAAGATCCGAAAATTCATGCTCATACATTGCATCATAATCAGTCCCATACATATGTGCAGGAAGTTCGGCTGGTGTTGTATTTATCGGAACGTCATCCTCGTCATCATCAGAATGTACATTAAACTGTGGTGAGTCAGGTTCAACGAATAATCCCGTTTCAGCACCATCTGCACCTGGCTCCCGAAGAGGTTCTTCTGGTGGAGATGATGGTTCCTCCGATAATCCAATGTTGAAGTCAAATAAGTTCCCGCTTGTGTGTCCTCCCCTTGAACTTGAGGCCATTGTATCATGTGGGATGTGAATAGACTGTCGTCTCGTTGGCATTTCCATATGTAAGTCGAAAACATTGGCAGATCAATGTCTGCCCCTTGAAGTAGAAGAGATGTTGCCATATGGATTATTGGTGAAACCACGTGGGTTGAGATCATAAGCAGTTGCAGATGAATGCCTTCCTACTGAACTTGATGGCATGGCATCTGGCGTTGGATCCGCCATTAATGATGTGAAATCATTACAGATCAGTTGTGTCGGGCTATCAACTTAATCAGCTTGATATACAATGCCAAAGTAAGAGGAATATGAGAGACCACGAGAAGCACAAACCCCAATAAAAGTGACATACATTTCAATAAGAGATTGTGA